GAGAGCCTGCCGCTCGGAGAGGAGAGACTGCTACTCGGAGGAGAGACTGCCACTCAGAGAGGAGAGACCGCTGCTCAGAGGGGAGACTGCTGCTTGGAGAGGAGAGACTGCCACTCGGAGAGGAGAGACCGCCACTCGGAGGAGAGACTGCCGCTCGGAGAGGAGAGACCGCTGCTCAGAGGGGAGACCGCCGCTAGGAAATGGGGAACTACTGTACCAAGGCCTCGCCTCTTTTCATTTCCTCAGCTGTCTGATCAGTTTCGTTTCTCCCCAGCTCTGCTCCTCGTCCAGGGAACTCTGGTTTCCACTAGATCTCTGGCCCTTGGCCCCACTTCCGGGCTGCTCCGAGTGGCTGGGGCGCCCCTGCCCTGCGTTTCCCTTTCCTGCGTCCTCACCAGTAGCCAAACTCTGCCCCAGCCTCCTCCCGCCTTCCCTTCTCAGGCTCCGGTCTAAGAGGCGAGGGCAGGCCAGGCCCCTCCCCTCGTCAATTTCCGACTCCGAAACTTACCGGTTACTGCCCCTTGCAGACGGGTGACTCTTCCCCTGGATCTGTTCACTCCGAAGTGAAAAGCTTCCCCACTGCGAGGACTCGTGCACGCAGGGACGGAGGCTAAGACAGAGAACACCGTATTGCCTCTGTAGAAATCCACGGGACGCCCCTCTGTACCCAGAATTCCCGGGACACCTTCTCGCCGGAGGATGTTGTGAAGGCAGAACCATGGGGTCACCAAATGAAATGAAGAGGTAGCAGGTTGAAAACAACCCAAAGGATGTTTTTCTTCAGGCAGCGTGCAATTAACCTGCGGAACTCCTCGCCGGAGGATGTTGTGAAGGCAGAACCATGGGGTCACCAAATGAAATGAAGAGGTAGCAGGTTGAAAACAACCCAAAGGATGTTTTTCTTCAGGCAGCGTGCAATTAACCTGCGGAACTCCTCGCCGGAGGATGTTGTGAAGGCAGAACCATGGGGTCACCAAATGAAATGAAGAGGTAGCAGGTTGAAAACAACCCAAAGGATGTTTTTCTTCACGCAGCGCACAGTCGACCTGTGGAACTCCTCGCCGGAGGTTGCAGTGAAGGCAAGAACTAGGGTGGGTCACCAAATGAAATGAAGAGGTAGCAGGTTGAAAACAAACCAAAGGACTTTTTTCTTCACGCGAAGCACAGTGGACCTGTGGAACTCCTCGCCGCAGGATGCGGTGAAGGCAAAAACATTGGCCACTGTGGGCAGACAGGCTACTGGGCTGGATGGACCATTGGTCTGACCCAGTGTGGCCGTTCTTGTGTTCTTATTAACGGTGGAAACGACCGTCCATTGGGAGGGGAGGGAATTGAGCTGGGTCGGAGTTATTGCGGTTAACGTGGGACCCTGCTTCCACGTAGAAACGGGGAGAGACTGAACAGCGCCAGCGCTGTGCCTGGTGCCCCCCCTCCCCTGTAACATCTCCACTGGAGAGCCACCCCCAGCCCCCTTGATCTGACACCGTGGGGCCACAGGGTGTTTGGAAAAGACCCCATAGAACGCCCCCCAACCACACACCGGCAGAGCGCCCCCCACCCCACACACTGGGGCCTGGATCCATAGGACCACCTCCCCACACTCACTGGGGTCCAGACCCATAGGACACTCCCCAACCCACACACTGGGGTCCAGACCCGGAGGACACCCTCCAGCCTGCTCACTGGGCCCCAGACCCATAAGATACCCCCCAACCCAGCACTTTGGGGCCCGGATCCATAGGACACCCCCAACCCGTACACTGGGGCTCAGACATAGGGGGATCCCTTCTCAGCCTCACACACTGGGTCCCAGACCCATAGGACACCCCCAACCACACACAGGGAGTCAGATCCCAATTGGGCCGGGCTGTGATACCCCCAGACCCAAAAGGAGCCTTATGGGAAATTTTGCCCTTACAGGCACAAGCCAGGGCTGCACGAGGCAGCCGGAGGCGTCCTT